CGAACCTAAAGGATTACCTCCTAAACGAGTACATGACCATTCAATTATACTTAAACCGGGTGCAGCCCCATCAATTTGCGGCCTTACAAATTTCCACATCATCAAAAAGAAGAGGTGGAAAGACAAATTTCTGATATGCTAGCAGCTTTTGTCATTCAAGCAAGCAAGAGCGCTTTTGCCTCACCTTGCTTGTTAAGAAAAAGGATGGTTCTTGGAGATTTTGCGTCGATTATAGACAATTAAACAATCAGACAGTAAAAAATAAGTTTCCAATACCAGTGGTGGAGGACTTATTAGATGAATTACATGGAGCAGCCTATTTTTCTAAGTTGGACTTAAGGTCTAGCTACTGGCAGATTCGAATTCAGCCTACAGACATCTACAAAACTGCCTTTCACACTCATCATGGACATTTTGAATTCAAGGTAATGCCCTTTGATCTTACTAACGCACCTGCTACATTTCAATCTCTTATGAATGATTTGTTCACTCCCTATTTGAGAAAGTTTGTTATGGTATTTTTTGATGATATATTAGTGTACAACACTACATTGTCTGCTCATGCACTACACTTGAGAAAAGTTTTGGAAATATTGACACAACATCAGCTATATGCTAAGAAGAGTAAATGTTACTTTGGCCAACTACAAGTGGAATATTTAGGCCATATTATTAATGCTCAAGGGGTTTCCACTGATCCATCAAAAATTGTAGCCATGAAAAATTGGCCAATTCCTCAAAACTTAAAATCTATTAGGGGATTTTTGGGGCTAACATGCTATTATAGAAGGTTCATCAAAGGCTATGGTGCACTTAGTCGGCCACTTACAATGATGTTAAAAAAGGATGGTTTTACATGGACTCCTACAGCATTGACAACCTTTAATCAATTGAAGGAAGTAATATGTAAGGCTCCAGTTTTGGCTCTTCCTGATTTCACTAAAGAATTTTGTTTAGAAATTGATGCAAGCTCAGAAGGTATGGGGCTGTTTTATCCCAAGGAGGTCGTCCTTTGGCTTACCTTAGAAAAGCTTTAAGCCCTAAAAACATGGACCTTTCTATCTATGAGAAGGAATATTTGGCTATTATGTTGGCAGTTTCGAAATGGCGACATTATCTCGAGTGTGGTCCTTTATCATTAAAACAGACCACGAGCCTTTGAAGTATTTGTTAGAGCAGAAACTCACAACAACAATTCAGAAGAAAGGATTGACTAAATTGTTGGGTTTGGACTACACAATTCAATATAGAAAAGGGCGTACTAATGTTGTGGCTGATGCTTTGTCAAGATAATTTGTGCAGGTGGGTGAGTGTCAAAAGATGGGTGCCATGATTATAATTCCGACTTGGGTTAAGGACATTGAACAAAGCTATGAAAATGATGCTGATGCTAAAGAATACATTCGAGCAGTAACTATTAACACTGCTAGTGTTCCAAATTGGAAATATTCAAAGGGGGTGTTGCGTTACAAAAACAAAGTTTATGTCGGACAGTCTGGTGCTTTACGATTGAAGATACTACAGATTTTACATGACTCTCATCATGGAGGGCATTCGGGTATTCAAGTTACATACCAGCGGGTGAAATCTTATTTTTATTGGCCTAAACTTAAAAGCATGGTCTCTAATTATGTACAAAAATGTGAAGTTTGCCAACGCACTAAGGTGGAGCATGCGACTAAACCTGGGCTGCTACAACCAATTCCAATTCCTCAACAAGCATGGGAGGTGATAACTATGGATTTTATTGGAGGTTTACCTAATTCTTTGCATAAGAATTGCATTTTAGTAGTAGTGGATAAACTGACTAAATATGCTCATTTTTTAGCACTTTCTCATCCCTACACTGTGATGGAAGTAGCTAAATTTATATTTAGATCATGTTTATAAGCTTCATGGTCAGCCTAAGATGGCCATTTCAGATCGTGACAAGACCTTCACTAGTCTTTTTTGGAAAGAACTAATGAAGCAGCTGGGAACCAGCACACTCTTTAGCACAGTTTACCATCCTGAGACGGATGGTCAAACCGAGAGAGTGAATCAATGTCTTGAGCAGTACTTAAGGGGTTTGTGTTTCCTAAAACCTACTCAATGGGCAAGATGGTTACCTCATGCTGAATGGTGGTATAATACAAACTATCATACAACACTTAAAATTACCCCTTTTGAGGCACTCTATGGATATAAACCTCCTACAATGTTATGGTGTTCTGAATCTAATGTCAACAGTGTTCAGACATTATTACAAGACAGAGAACAAATTAGGCAAATTGTTAGAGACCAGTTACAGCAAGCCCAGAACCGTATGAAACAGCAAGCTGATATAAAAATCGCAGTGAACGAACATTTGATGTGGGAGAAGAGGTGTACCTGAACGTTATTTATTGAGAATTTACCAGAGAAGATCCGTTGGAAGAGGTTTGGATCTTTATTTTGCTCTCACGGTCGGGTACTTGATGCTTTTATTCCAAATAAAAGAAATTCAAAAGGAGTTCGCTTTGGTTTCATTCGCTTCGCATCAATCGAAGAAGCAAGGAGAGCGATCTCAAAAATGAATGGCTATCATATCGACGACAGCAAAATTGGAGTTTCTTTCGCTAAATTCAAACCTCGACATTCCTATTGGAGAAAGTCCTCGACAGGTGTTTTTCGTAAGTCTGAGATGGGAGATGATTCGAGGAAGAATCATTATAAAGCTGAAGGCGTTATAGATGAAGAAAAACTTCAGGTGTTGAGCAATTGTCTAGTGGGATGGTGCAAAGAATTTATCAAAATCGGTCATCTCGCTAGACAAATGCATGCAAAGGGCCTCATTGGCTTCTCCTTAATGAGAGCTGCTGGTAATGCAGTATTAATGATTTTCGAAGACTCTGCTTCATTGAGAAGTGTTGAGAACGATAAATCAAAGACTCTCGCAGAGTGGTTCTCTATAGTCGAAGCTTGGTCAGAGAGTTTGGTAATGGAGTGTCGCCGAGTATGGTTAGTTTGCGAGGGTGTTCCGTTTCACGTATGGAATTGGGATACTTTCAAGAACATTGCTGATTGTTGGGGTCAGTTACTAGCAATCGATGAAAGCTGTCAGTCACCATCATCCTTTGATCGGGCAAAAATTCAAGTCCTCGCAAAGGCTGGTGCGAGAATTGATGCGACGTTGGAATTGAAGGTTGGTGACAACTCCTTCAAGATCATGGTGCATGAGATAGAGCCTTCATTCAAGCCAAACTCTTGGACTCCTGAAGAAGACGAATCTCATTAGATCTTGTCTCTCTAATTGTGTTTTGATTTAGTTTATATGGTTGCAGGTGTTGCGTCCCTTTTGTATTATGTTCTGTTGCGTTGTTTTAATTCTATTGCTGGAGGTGTATTTAGAAATAAGGTGATTCGATTGTGACTTTGGATGAGGTTTTATGAGCTTAAGGTGTTTGTTGTAATGGTGAATATCACCATAGGAGGATATTCCGTGTTATCTTTTGTATTGGGTATTATTATTAATAAACTTTGAGGTACTCTTTTCTTCCTTCCAATGTTCGTTAACATACTTCTTAGTATGTGAACGAATACGAAGGGAGTTTTTAATGAGACCTCCAACTTCTATAAAAAAAAAAGAGGTGTACCTGAAACTGCAACCATATCGGCAGACTTCCCTGGCAATCAGAAAAAACATGAAGTTAGCAGCCCGTTTTTATGGCCCTTATAAAATTCTTGAAAAGATTGGTGAGGTTGCTTATAAATTGGACTTACCAAAAACTGCTCAAATACATCCTGTTTTCCATGTCAGTCTCTTGAAGCGGAAACTGGGAGAGAAGATAGTGACTTCATCAGACCCTCCTCAGGTAATAGATGATGGGCAACTGAAAGTATTTCCTGAGAAAATTTTAAGCAAAAGAATTTTCAAATAAGATAACCGTGTTGTTACTCAATTATTGGTTCACTGGACGAATTTAAGTGCTGAAAATGATACCTAGGAAGATTATACAGTCTTGCGTGCCCAGTTTCCCGAATTCGATCCTTGAGGACAAGGATCTGCTAATGGAGGGAGTATTGTCACGATAGCAAGAGAAGACCAGGACGAGGAGATTAGAATTGAAGCGAGGGAATTGGGGGAAATGGACGAGGAATTAGGGATTGAGAGAAAAGAGATAAGGGAATTAGGGATTTCAATCTCTAATTAGAGGGCTGAAGGAAATTACCTGGAGCTCCAGCAGAAGAAGAGTTGGGCAGGGGAGATGGGCTCAGACGTGGATCCAGTCAAAAACCCAAAGGAGGAAAATATCCAGATGCAAGGAGTTTGTTAAGAATTAGTTATACAACTGTCCTCTTCTTATTTGCTATAGTACATTGTAATCAAATAAAAACTGTGACTAAGGGATGAGAAAGATACCTGATGAATGAATTAATTCTGATTTCTGAAATCTCTCTGCTTTTCTTTTTCTAAAACCTTCACTTCTTCGATTTTTCCTTCTCATTCTCCTCAGTTCATAACAGATACCATGTGAGAAATTTAGAGAATAAAAAGAAATTTTCTAGTCGAGATTTTTATTGAAAAACAGAAAACATAGCCTGTTTTTTATAGGCTATGGATTTCAAGTTAGCTTCCTACGAGGTTTCTTTCTTCCCAACTGTTATCTCCTAAATTTAATTGTAGTGTTTTCATGTTTGATGCTACATGGATGATTCAAAAATTGAAATGCATGTGTATTATGCATGACATGTGTAAGCTTGGGGCCACTGCTCTCTACCACTCATTTGTCCCAAAGAAGTAATAGATGAACTGTTGACTCATGCGCATTCAATGCCGCCTGAAAAATGCTGTAACCGCTGTCTGCTCCATTGCTGTAATTATCTAATTTATAGTTATTTCAGCTTGACTTGGCTTCTTTTATTTTTAACCATATTATTTTGTGTAGTTTTAGTGACTGTTTTTGCATGAAACTCCCCTTAAAAGCATGTCATTTGTATCCAAACTCTAACCTCTCTAAATTCATATATGGTATGAGCAGGTTTGTGAGAGGCTTGGAATTGATAAGAAAAGGAGCTATTCTCGATTCTTCAACATGTTCTCTCGGTTTGGGATGCACCTGCAAGCTGAAAGCCACAAAAAAACTACAGTTTATCGAGTTTGGACATCTGGGAATTCTTATTGTAAATCATCAAATGCATTTTTGATTAAACCAAGTGATGCCGGTGATGACAAGCAGATTTCTGTTCTTGATTGTGGCCATTCAGAAGTGCCTGATGAATCGAACCAAAATCTTATAGAATGCAATCCTTCAACATCTGCAGTCGGTTCTTTTACTCCCGTGAAAGTGAATGATATGGAAAATGATACTGAAATTTCCTGCAGCTCCCTTGGAGAAACTAACCATATTGTTCTATATTCTGACAACGCGCAAAGGCTTCCAAGTGAGCAAAGTAATACTGCCCAGGATGCAGAACTTGATTTAGTTATGACAGAAAGCCCAATATGTGCTTCTCCTCCAAAACCAATAGGTGTTGATTTGATGAGGCCTTCTGAGTCCGGCTCATATCAGCCATATTCAAGTCAAGCTCTGACTGCTGATGGTGCTCAAAGGGAGCAAAGAATACTTGGACGTTTACAGGTATTTTGTTTATGCCACCACTTGACTGGAGCAATGTTTTCAAGGGTGCAAGGCGCACTATAGGCGCTTAACCCTTATATTGTCTCAGGCGCAAGCCGCAAAAAGAATGCTAACCTAAGTGAAGTAAGTATCTATGTGTGAGTTTTTCTAATATGCTTTATATAATAAACTCCAAAGTGGAGTCTAATTTATCTACAAAACATGCAATTTTTTATTGGTCAATATGCATGATTTCCTTATGGTCAATGTTTGTTGAATGCTCAAATATTACGAAGTATAGAGTTTGATATTACAGTCTCTTACTAGTAAAGGTCTATCAAATAAAAAAAAGTGAAAAAAAAAACTTAAAAGAGAAACTCAATCAGGCAGTTTTTTATGTATATTGCCTTGCAAAAAAGCGTGCATCAAATGGACCTGGCCTGAAAGGGTATGAGGCACTTTTGTTGAATACTGTTGAGGTAGAAGGCACAGGCATGCCTTGGCATACTCCTTGACAACACTGGACTGGAGGCTTACATTGGGATCTGTGTTACATAAACTCTTCATGTTCCATGGTACCCATATTCAACCCGTCTGTCTGACATATATATGGACTTGAGTATGCGGGTACGATCCTCCAGAAACATGAAAAACTAAAAAAATTTGAGTATACCTATGTTAGAGACATGCCCGTGTTTGATACTCCCCCCCAGCCTGGGTAACATAGTTTGTGATTAGAACCTTGTTTCCCATCCATAATGTTTTCCCAAGATACAAATATAATTTTAGTTTCCTTGTGCAGGATGAGAAGTTTCTATTGAGAGCCGAATTGTATCGATGGCTTGTGGAACTTGAGAAGGACAAGAGCACAAAATTGGACAGGAAGACAGTTGATCGATTGTTAAAGAAGCTTCAGCAACAAGGGCACTGCAAATGCGTGCACATTAATGTGCCTGTTGTAACGAATTGTGGACGAAGCCGTATTACTCAGGTGGTTCTGCACCCATCTGTCGAAGCTTTACATCAAGAGCTGATAAGTGAAATTCATGACAGATTGAGATCATTTGAAATGCAAATCCGTGGCCATGGAACATCGAAGCTCAAAAGCAATGATTCAATTCCTGTGTTAGATGGTGTCCAGAGAACTCAGGGCCATGTTGAGTCAGATGCCAAAGCTGCAAAATCAGAAGCCATTCGTGCCAATGGTTTTGTGCTGGCAAAAATGGTACGCTCAAAACTGCTGCATCGGTTTTTATGGGGATTCTTGAGTAGTTTTCATGGTTGGGATGATGATTTATCACTTGACAAACACCCACATGATCAGAAAAATCTTCACGGTTCATGCATTTTATTTTCACTGGAAGCGGCCATAAAAGCTATTCCACTTGAACTTTTCTTACAAGTTGTGGGAACTGCTCTAAAGTTTGATGATATGATTGCAAAGTGTAACAAAGGCTTTTGTCTTTCTGATCTTCACATTGAAGAGTATAAGCTTCTAATGGATACTCAGGCAACTGTAAGACTTTCTTTGCTCATTGACATCCTAAGGCGCTTGAAGGTACAACTACTTAGCCAAATTTCCAGTAGGTTAAATGGTTAATCATGTGGGAATATTTCATTCTTCTGGCAATCACTATGATTTCTTTTTTGAAATCATTTAGTTGTTTTTTCTATGAATAATCTGGGTTGTATTCTACCCAATTATGTGGTCGACATATTAGTGGCTTTGTTGTAGGGCAATGCTGGCTGCTTTAAGTTATTGATCCTAGAATGTAAATTTTAACATTTGGGCTCAAGCCTTGAACTTAAAATAAGTGGTAGCTGCTCTGGAAGAATGCCTTATTTGTAGTTATTATTATGAGTGGTTTAATGTTATATTGATGGTTGAAATATCTGCTTGAAGAGTTCCCTTTTTTCATGTCTTCTTCCATTGTAGCTGTTTGTATGAACGTAGGCTATTAGGAATATAATGATAGCAAAGTTTGGTAGGCATTAGCAGAGTTCATTCTGAGCAGTCTTGCATGAATTTTAATTTACTTGATAAGTTGCAGCATATTTTGTTTTCATTGCTGGAAAAGATGGGTGATAGAATATGTTCCAATAATATATTGGTAGAACGTAATTACTGTTTGAGCATGCAGAGTGCGTAATATTTTCATATGAAAAAAATTATAAAAGGTTTCTAGGGGACATGTTTTAATGGATGATATTATTCTAAATTATTCTTTCTGGATTAATTTCTCTCTATGCTTCTGTATCGTATGTTACTGTTTCTTTGACTGACATTATTTGATGATGTAGTTGATTCGGCTGGTACCTGATGAATGTTCAGATAACATATTAAAGGTACCACATGCCAATTTGACCCATGCTATGGAGCTTAAACCTTACATAGAGGAACCACTGTCATGGGTTGCCACATCTACTTCTAAATCTCTTGATCTTCGTCCTAGAATCAGGCATGATTTCATCTTGTCTAATAGAGAAGCTGTTGATGACTATTGGAAAACTTTGGAATATTGCTATGCAGCTGCTGACCCAAGAGCTGCTTTACATGCATTCCCTGGATCTGCTGTTCATGAGGTACGAGCTAGACAGAAATTTGTAGACTAAAAATTCATGGCTTATGTTAATATTTGAACAAATAAAACATAAAAGTCATTATTTTGAATTTTAATTGTAAGAAAAGATTGTAAAAATAGGAGATGTCCTTGTTGAATTTATTAGATTTCAACTCATTTTAAAAATTTTCAATGATAGTCAGTGATGTTACGTTCAGCTGTCACTTCAGGTATTAGTGTGTGTGTATTATGATGATTAAGAATTTCCTATTTATAAGTGTATTCAGTTCTCGTGTAGGCTATAAGCGTTCGGCACGGTTTGACAACTTTTTTGTTTTTTTTTATAGGAATAGGAAGTCTCATTAAAAACCTCCTTCTTAGTTGGCTCTTGTGGAAGAAGCAACTATCGGAAGGAGGAAAAGAGTACCTCATCTTATTAATAAACCAGAATTACATAATCTTACATCTTACATAATAAACTTCCCGAAATAATATACAAACCAAACCAACCATAAAACTATAAACATCAACCATTCCCCTCCTTAGCTAACTTGTTTGCCTCCGAATTGCAACTCTTAGGAATCCATCTAACAATAATACCCCTAACAGAAACTAAGGTCCCAATTTCCCCAACCAAAGTACTGAAAAACGTAGGGGCAGAAAATGGCAACAAAATCCAATCAACTGCTGTTTTACAATCACTCTCTAGGATTAATCTACCCTTCGATGCCCATTCAGAAGAAAAGAATAAATCAATTCCTTGTTTAATAGCTTTCAGCTCAGCTAACATAGGAGGACCAGGACCCACCGCAATAGAAAATGAGTTTAAAATATAACAATTTTTTGTTTTTTATAAGTTACATACGGTGTTTCTTGCATCTATATCCATTGTGATAGCCTGCTATGTGAAAAGTAAAAGCAGACTTAGAGAGTGGTTATTTCAGGTTTTCCTTAATCGATCGTGGGTCTCGGATCGAGTTATGACAGCTGATCAGCGTGCTGAGCTCCTAAAGCGAATTGTGAAGGATGACTTAAATGAAAAACTTTCATATAGAGACTGTGAAAAAATTGCAAAGGATCTTAATCTGACCTTACAGCAGGTAAATTATATTTTGCCTAGCGTTATTTGATACAACCCACAACTCCCTGCTGTCTTGCGCAACCGATAGTGTCAAATCAGCTTTTATCATTTGTTTGCTTTAAAACAATTTATTTTTTATTTACAGGTGCTTCGTGTATATTATGATAAGCAGCAAAAGCGCCTAAATAGATTTCGGGGTTTTCCAAATAGCAATGAAGAGCAGTATCAACGACAAAGAAATAAACGGTCATCTGATCGGAAAAGAAAGAGATGCTCAACCGTGAAATCAAAAGAAAGAGAGGTTGCTGCACTACTTGATGGCATTGATGGACTAAAAGAAGACTATTCTTTAGCTCCAGCGGGACCTGCTGTCTCCCAAGCGTATCAGGAAGCTGATTCTGTTGAAGCCATGGATAAGCTAGGGTCACTTGAAGAGGATGAGGAGTGTTATTCCTTAATTAGCCAAAATTTCTTTCCAAAAATGAAGCCAACGCGTAAAAAAAGAATCTCATGGACAGATAAAACGGACAGGTAGAATGTAGTAATATATTCTCTAGGCTGGGTGCAAATGAGAAACAAACTGAATAGAAACTGGACTTAGGAGCACTTTTTTTTAAAAAAACATAGATTTATTATATTATTCTATTTAGGTACATGAGTAACTTATCTTCAACTATTGATGCTTGCCTAGCAGGAATTTTATTAAGATATAAGATGGTTTTAGAGACTTGGGGATTTTTTTTTATGCATTTGGTGGTAGTCTATCTGGTTTACTTGATGATATATATAGTTTAGTGACTGTTAGAAGAGGAAGATGTTTACAGTATATTGTGGTTCTTCATGTTTCGCATTAATTTGGTCTATGCAGGGAATTGATAACCCAATATGCAAGGTATCGTGCTGCCATGGGGGCAAAAGTTCACCGTGTAGATTGGACTTCACTTGCTGGCCTACCAGCACCTCCTCATGCTTGTTCAAGAAGAATGGCATCCCTAAATAGAAGTGAAAAATTTAGGAAAGCATTAATGAAGCTATGCAATATGCTTAGTGAACGATTTATGAGGCATCTTGAGAAAAACCAAAATAAGTCATCCGGCAGTAGTGATTGCAGACTTCTTCGATTTCCAGCAATTCAATTCTCCAATGGAATCGAACATGACGAAGATGCAAGCTTTGAGGTGGAAAGATGGGATGATTTTGACGACAAAAAAATGAAAAGTGCTTTGGAGGATGTTCTTCGTTTTAAACAGATTACTAAACTCGACGCCTCTACAAGGGTCAGATCTATATCTGCTGAGTGGTCGAGTATAAACATGAATTCTGAGGTTAATGTAATTCCTTATTTTTAGGTCCCATATATATGTTTATTCCATTAGTTCTCCTAAAGTTTCATAAATTCATCAAATTGCAGTTGGAAAGATTTTATTGTTTTTCATCAGTGGGCATTCTTTCCTGATATTTGGTATATTATATTTATCTTGCTTATAAGTACTCTGAAATTGTTGTGTTCTTTCTTGTTTCCTGGCAGGAACGACAGGGAACTGAAATGGTTCTGGCAACCGCCCAAGATGAGGATATAGGAATGCCTGGTGCTGGTCGACGCAAAGGCTCTATTCGAAGTTCAGAACACCATCGCTTTCGTCAAAAGTTAGTTAGGCTTTGGAATGTAGGAAATGGCATTGGCAGACAAGTACACGAATCGTTGGCTGTTTCTAACGCTGTTGAACTATTTAAGCTTGTTTTTTTGAGCATATCTACAGCACCACAATTTCCAAATTATCTCTCAGAAACCTTGCATCGTTATTCAGAGCATGATCTATTTGCAGCTTTTAGCTATCTTAGAGATAGAAAAATTATGGTAAATATCAATTTGTAATTTCTATATTTTTTTTGTTATAGCAGTCTGTGCAAGTTACATAGAGATAGAGGTCTTATTGTTTTGCGCTTAGTAAGGAGCGTATTTCTTAATCTTATGAAATAAGATGCATTAGGATTAAATAAAGATCTACACTCAGCACTTTTTCTGAAGTTCCTTTTCATTTCAGTCAATCTTATGGATTTGAGAAGACATCCTTCAAGCCTTTGTGATTGGTTTTTGTCAACTTCAGACCGTTCTTGAATTTCTCGAGAGCTATTTTTCATTTTAACAGAATCTGATGATGTTCACGAAAACATCTTCGGAGTCTTAATAGTTGGCTTTTGGGGCCCATTCTCTCTTTAACTTTATAACACTCCATCTCCTGCCTTTACCTTAAAGCAGTAAAGGGATGGGTGGGTCGTACTTTATATCTTATTAATCAAGTTAAACAGTGTCATATTAGTCTGCTGTTTTCTGGTCTTTATTTGGTGGAAACTCCGTTATCGTAATTCAACTTCGTCTTACATTCCCTTGGTCACTGTACGAGCTCCTTGAAGTCTCATCTTCTCTCTAATGTACTGCTATCCATTCAAATTTCTCTCATTTACCTGTATTTTCTGACTCTCTATTTTCTTCAACTTTTGGCAGATTGGTGGTACTTGCGGTCAACCTTTTGTACTTTCTCAACAATTCTTGCACAGTATTTCCAAGTCTCCATTTCCTTGCAATACAGGCAAGAGAGCAGCTAATTTTTCTGCTTGGATTCGTGAAAGAGAAGAACTTATGGAAGGGGGAATTAATCTGACTGCAGATTTGCAATGTGGTGATATTTTCCATTTGTTTTATCTGGTTTTTTCTGGTGAACTTTCTCTTTCCCCATGCTTACCAGATGAAGGTGTTGGAGAAGCTGAAGACTTGAGAAGCTTTAAACGTAGAGCTGAGGATAATGAATTATGTGATGCAGATAAGGCTAAGAAATTAAAATCCATTGCAGAAGGAGAATTTGTTTCACGACGAGAAAAGGGCTTTCCTGGAATCATGGTATCCGTGTATTGCACAACATTTCCAACAGCCACTGCTTTAGAATTGTTCAAGGATGCAGAGACATTAAATCCTGAGCTTTTGAATGATGAAAGTTCAACTAATTTGGACCATATAAAGGAAATGCTCGAGTTCAATAGTAATGTCACCGTAGCATCGAAGTCTAGCGATTCACCTTGGGAAGATATGGCTAGTTACACTGAGCATCTGTTGTCAGATCCTTCTGATGAAGGACAAGGTGATCACTTTGATCCTGAGATCATCAAGGCTGTTTGCTCTGAAATTCAGAAGGCTGGGGACCAAGGTTTAAGCATAGAAGATGTTTATAGTCTTGTCAAATTGCCAGGTATTTCTTTTGTCATTGTTGTACTTGTGGCTCATCTTTATACTTACGAAAGAGGATATATGCATGTAACTTTCAGTTCATTGATGAGATGTTCCTCTTGCAGGAGAAAAGACACCTGAAATTATCATTGATACGCTCCAAGCATTTGGACGAGCTATCAAGGTTGTTACACCATTGGAATATAAATTGTGTATTAGTATGTAATATTTTTCTCAAACATGAATTCCCTGTGTCGCTTCTGGCCGGTAGTTGCAAGGAAGAGGTTATTGTGGAATGTGTTAAATTATTAGTAGTCATGTTCCAGCATTGACAGTAGAAAATGTTAAAACAAATCGGCAATGGGGCATCAATGACTGCATCTTTGAGACATTTGCTAGCACCAATACATCTTGAGAATTGTTAATTGGCTGGTTTTAAGTAGCCCTTGGACTATGGAACAAAGATTTATCCTGGATACCTACACTAAGGTATTGATGGTAATCGTCAAAAATCACAAAAAATGTGATACAATGAGATAAAATGCAATAGCAGTGAAGACTCAGGGAATGAGTTACCTGATCTTGATGGTCCTAGCAAACCCTCTCATTCTGACATTCTGAATTCTTTAATTTGGATAGAATGCAATAGAAACTAAGACACAAGGAATGGGTTATATTGATCTTAATGGTCCTAGCTAACCATTTCATTCTGGCATTCTGAATTCTTTAATTTGGAATGAACCGCATTTCCCCATGTAGGATTCAAACCTACAACCAGTCAATTGTATTGTTTTGTTTCAGAGGATCCATGGGAAGAGAGCATCTCAGACTGGAGCAATGGGGATGTTCAGCTACAGCAGGAAGGTCATGTGGGTTTTCAGGAGATGTCAGACACACAAAATAGGGTAGAGGAATGGGTTCAAGGTTCCAAACAAGGAAAAAACACAGAAATCGAGGGGGTTTGATTTTTTGCTTAAATTAAAAAAAATAGCAGAAGTTGTCTGCACCCAGCAGCAAAAGTCAAAAGGTTTTAAGGAAGGGAGAGAAGATGAGAGTAGGGGGGATGTTTCCGTTGGGCATGACATAGTTGACTGTGATAATGGGCTTCGGAAAGGCCTGGTGAGACAAGTGTTGGGTGGGTTGGATCAAGAGAATGGTGGAATAACCAGGGGGTGTCACATTTCCACTGCAGATATTATTGAGGAGCAGTCTCGGGCTCCTCTGCAATGTGAGCCTTTATTGGTGTCTCAGCAAAGAATTCCTGGAAACAGTGGGGCTGGAAGCAAAGTGAGAAGAGGCTCATGTAACCGTGTTTATTCGAGGTCAAGGAGGGGAGCAAAGAGCTGTGTAGGTACAAGTTCAGATTGTATTTATTCAAGGGTGGTTGCTGGAGGGGCCGAGGCACTTGAGTGCTGGAATGTTAGGGGGGAATTTAGAGGGGGAAAACAAAATTTTATGGAAAGAACAGTAACACTGGATAAGGAGAGAGAAGTAAATGGGAGTAATTAAGGGGTAGTGATTTGTAAGGTTATAGATTGATATAGATGTCAAATTGGAAAGTTTGTCTTGGAATGTACGAGGTCTAGGTAGGAGGGTCAAAGCTAGAGCAGTTAGGAGGTGTGTTGAAGAGAAGAAGCCTACAATCTTATTTATCCAAGAATTGAAATTAGAGTTAGTTAGTCCTTCATTATTGCGAAAAATGGGCGTGAAATTATTGACAGGTTCGGCAATATCTTCTGTTGAAGGTACTACTGGAGGCTTAATTACTTTGTGGAACGAAATGCATGTGATGTTAAGGAAGAGGTAATTCACAGCAGATTCTTGACAGTAAGAGGAATTACTGAAGAGTTCTCAGGGTCTTGTTGGTTTATAAATGTGTATGGACCGAGCGTGAATTCTGAAAAAGAGATTTTTTTAGGGAGTTGCTTTCTTTTTTGGAAAATGCAGACTGCCCAGTGTCTTGGAGGGGATTTTAATGTTCTGTCAGGAGAAGAGAAGGTAGGTGGTGAAGTTAATTTGGTTTCAATGAATGTTTTTAGACACTTTGTGAGCAGTGCTAATTTGGTAGATTTACCTTTAGCAGGAGGTAGATTTACATGGTGTAATAACAGGAATGTCCCAATCTATGAGAGATTAGATCGATTTCTTGTGGATCAGAAATTTTTGTTATTCTTCCCAATGATAACCCAACATCTTCAAACAAGGTCTATTTCGGATCATAATTTGATTATGCTGGAAAAGAGGGGTTTGAATTGGGGTCCTAAACCATTCAAGCTGTTCAACTATGTCATGGAGGAAGAGGGGTTTAGTAAGATGATGGAGGATGAACTTTTTAAGTTGTGTAAAGTAGAGAAGAAAAATCCAATTTCCAGTGTGCTTAAAGGGGTGCAAAAAGCTGTGAAGAGATGGTCTAATAAGAGTTACCTAGAACTTCCTGGAAAAATTAGCAGTTTAGAAAAAGAAATTTAGAAGTTGGAGATTGATTTGCAGCAAGGATTACCTGTGGTGTCTATGAAGCAACTAGTTGAGGCAAAAAAACAACTGTGGGACCTTTATAAAATTGAAGTCGATCTGATTACAAAAATAGAGAGTGAAGTGGAGTTTGGAAGGGGACAATAACACAAGATTTTTTCATCAATTTGCTGGAGGCAGAGGTAGGAGGAACTGTATAAAGTCCCTCAAAGTGGGGAATGAAATCACCTCAGATCCTTGTAGGATTAAATCATCAGTGGTGGAATTTTATAAGGATCTGTTTATACAAAAAAAAAACACTGGAGGCAGAAGATTTGGACTTGGAATTTCTAAAATTATCGAACGAGCAAAGAATGGCTCTTGAAAGGCCATTTTCTGAAGAAGAAATCTGGGAAGTAATTGCCAATTCGGACAACAACAAAGTGCCCGGACCTGATGGGTTAAACTTAGGGTTTTTTAAGAAATTCTAGCCAAGTTTGAAAGAAGTTAAGTTGTTTTTTAAGGAGTTTTATGAGGGGAAGGAATGGGATAAGGAAATTAATCACTCTTTCATTTCTCTTATTCCTAAGAAGGTGAATCCGGAGGGATTAGAATATTTTAGTCCTATTAGCCTTGGAGGTTGTTATAAAAAAATTCAAAGGTTTATGAATTAATGAAGTTATAAGTCCTCTCAATTTGCTTTTATCCTGGGGAGACACATTATGGATTGCTCCTTGATTGCAAATGAAGGCATTGACTTTTGGAGGAAGAGAGGTTTGAAGGGGGTGGTCTTCAAGGTGGATTTTAAGAGAGCTTATGACTCGGTAGATTGGGAGATTTTGATGAAAATAATGAGTAACATGGGGTTTGGAGTTAGATGGTGCTCTTGGATATACAAATGTGTGTCAACTGCTTCCATTTTGGTCCTAGTAAACGGGAATCCAACGGAGAAAATTCACCCTTCAAGAGGACTAAGGCAGGGTTGTTCGTTATCTCCGATGCTGTTTAATTTGGGAGGGGAATTGTTGCATTTGCTGTTGGCAAAAACAGTGGATAAGGGGTTGTTTTCAGGTTTTGAGCTAAGTTCTCATGATCGCTCATTCATGCTATCACATTTACAATTCGCGGATGATCTAATAATTTTCAGTAAGGCAACTATTCGTGACTTGTTGAATGTTAGAAGGGTTTTGGTGATTTTTGAATTATTGGTGGGGTTGAAGTTAAACTTAACTAAGAGCAGAATATTTGGAGTTAATGTGGAGGAGGAGGTTCTAGATGCTTGGGCAAAGGAAATAGGATGTTCAAAGGGTTCTTTTCCTTCGGAGTACCTAGGGTTACCGTTGGGGGCAAAGAGGAACTCTTTTGCCTTATGGGAATTTGTTGTGCAGAAATTCTACAGCACCTTAGCTGGATGAAGGTTAAATCCTTATTGTTGGCTGGAAGGGCTGTTTTGGTGAAATCCGTTTTGTGCTCTCTCCCCATTTATTTCCTATCTATTTTTCAGATACCAATTACTGTTTTCAACAAGTTAAATTCGATTATGGCAGCTTTTCTATGGGGAGGCTTTGCAGAAAAGAACATTCATTGGTTGAATTGGAAGTTGGTGATCAAGCCAAAGAAATTGGGAGGTTTGGGGATTCCGAATTTGGCGCTTTTGAACAGGGCTTTAATGGGGAAATGGGTTTGGAAATTTGCATCAGAGAAGAGCTCCTGGTGGAAGAAAGTTATGTGCAGTGTGAATAATTTGGATCCAAACTCTATGATGATTGGGAACAATTGCACAGCTAAAATGTCTTGGATATGGAGAGGTGTTGCAAATAATTTCTTTTCAACTGATGAATTTGGGGACTGCCTTAGGAAAAACATGTGTTTAAAAGCTGGAAATGGAGAATTAGTGGAGTTTTGGAATGATATATGGTTCCTTTAAAGGAGAGATTTCCGAGACTTTTTGCATTGTAGAATAACAAAAAGGGTAAGGTGGTAGAATTTAGGATAAACAGTAATTCCGGTTCGGTTTGGGATGTACAAATGAGAAGGAATTTGGTGGATTGGGAGGTTGAGCAATGGTTGCAGCTTATTTCCTTGTTGAACAGCACAACTATTTCATTATTGGAGGAAGATTGTTGGATATGGCTAGGAAATGGGGAGGGTTATTTTTCAGCTAAATTGTGTATCACAAAATTTTATGATCAGGAGCTCAATGATGGAGAAGAGGGTATTTGGGATAGGCATGTTTGGACAGGGGTTGCTCCTCCACGCGTAGAAGCGTTTGTTTGGCAAATTGCACATCAAAGAGTTGCAGTTAAGGAGGAACTGTTGAAAAGGGGAGTGACTGGGATTGATGATCCTTTATGTCCGCTGTGTGGGAAGTGTGAGGAGTCAATTTCACATCTGTTTTTGCATTGTGAGGTGGTTTGGATTCTGTGGTCTCGATTTTTTAGGGACTGGAACATTTCTTTTGTGGTTCCTAAGAAGCTGTTAGACTTTCTAGTGACGTGGGATGATTTATTTCCGACATCTACTATTTGGAAATTCATTCCAAGGGCGGCGGTGTGGTTGGTTTGGAAATGCAGAAACGAGATTATTTTCCAGAAAAGGAAGGTGGATTCTGCAATGTTCTTTCTGTCTAGATTCAGAACTGCTTCTTGGTTTGGGGTGAGATTTAAGGATGTTAAAGTCCCTTTTGATTCTCTAGTTGGAGACCTAAAACTGGCAGATTCTAGAGGATTTCAGAAAAAAAAAGTGTTCTCCTACTAAGTGGGTACCTCCTCCAGAAGGTTTCTTTAAACTTAATGTTGATGGGGCAATGGCTAAAGGATGGGAAAAAGGTGGAATAGGTGGTTTGATTAGGGATGACAGGGGTCTGTTACTTGGTTCATTCTTAGAAAAAATTAGAGGCGGTCCTCCTATTTTTGCAGAGCTAATGGCGATCAAAAGAGGTTTGACTCATTGAAGAAATAGGTTCTTCTCCAAGACAGAGGATTATCTTGGAATCGGACTCGACAACAGCTCTGAAGTGGATTAAAAATCCAGATTTGTGTACCCCTTTATTCCAGGCCATGGTTAGAGGTGTAGCATCTTATGTGGAAGAAAAGGGCATCATTTCAAGACATATTTTGAGAGCGGCTAACTGGGAAGTGGATCAGTTAGCAAAAATTGGTATAGGTTGATCTAGTGGTAATGTGGTGTGGTTCTTAAGTTGCTGTGCTTAGTCAGTTTTTTTAGGGTTCTGGATTTACTGCTGCAGTATGTGTTATGTTTTTAAGTCTTATGTTACAAGCAGTCTATGATTAGGAATTGGTTGTACGTTATGATTCAGATTAATAAAATTCAGAGGCACTCTTTTCCTCCTTCCTATGTCCTTCATGTTACTGATATAACATGTAGGATATGAAGAGGGTTTTTAATGAGGCCTATCTTCTATCAAAAAAAAAATTGTATTGTTTTTTGTAATAGTGGTATTTTTTAGGAAGGAGGAGACGAGAGCACTGCTTGGTAGTTTATACTCTCTTCAAAGCACTAGACAATTTCTTAACTTCATTACCAAATTCTTGTGCATTGATGTTGTGATCACTTTCATACAGGTCAATGCTTATGACTCTGTTCGCGTTGTCGATGCTTTATACTACTCCAAGTATTTTCTTTCCACAGTTTCTTGTTTCCATCAAGATCTTAAACCGTCTTTGTCAATAACATGCCAAGAAAAGGATGGTGGCAACTTAATCCTTCAGCAAGAAAATCTGAGTCTTGAGTCTGCAATGTTATCGGGGAGCGGTGATGCGCACAAAGTTACCATTCTTAATCTTCCTGAAGACCATCCTTTAGCTTCCAATGAAATTCCTACTAGCAATGCAAATGAAACCTGCATGTATGGTAAAGTTGGTTTATCAAAAGGGAATGATGGGGGGATGATTTATAAGCCTTTTTCAGGTGAACGATTGGTGCCTATATTGCCTTGGGTGAATGCAGATGGGACCATCAACAAGTCTGTCTACAATGGACTTGTACGCCGTGTTCTTGGTACTGTGATGCAAAATCCTGGGATATTGGAGGTACTGGCTTTTCTGTGCATATTAATTTAATGTCATGATTTTTTGAAGGCAAATGATGAACAATAATTTCTTACTTTGAAGTGATATGATCTTTTAGAACTGTTTTCCTTTAACTTAACCAAAAAAAAAAAACTACCTTTTTAACACTGTTAGCAACCTGTTGTAATGCATAACAACTTAGGAACCTTTTGCTTATCATGAATTCAGTTAGTTTTTTTGAAAAAAAGATTAAATTTTAGCATTCAGTTTCTGGAGAAAAACTGGTCTTAATTAAGTTTTAACAGTTTATTTCCCAGTTTTTTTATTTTCTTAAGGGCTTTCAACTTTGTTTTTTTGCAAGTGTGTTCTCCCACATTTCTTTAATTTTAGCTTTCTTGTGGTACGAGTTGAGCTTCTTCACCAATAGTCAATTGGTTTTAGGTTGGATACTTAACATACCGTAGGTTCTTCAGTTCTATAATACCCTGTATGAGGTTTTCTACATGCTGGCACCTGTTGTCCTACACATGAGGAAGTCTTTAAATGGTTTTATGTCATACCGTAGGTTCTGTTCTATTAGTACCCTGTATGAGGTTTTCAACATGCTGACACCTGTTGTGTTACACGAGGAAGTCTTCAATTGGTGTTATGCCATACCTCCCGAGTCTTGGGTTTTCTGTGGTCTTGTATTCAAGTTGACTCTCCACCTGTCAATTGGTTAAAGTCGTATGCTTATCAATTCTTTTGAGTGTAGTTATGAAGTCTTCGGACAATTTCAAAAATTAAATAACAAAACTTGGAATCAAACTGAAATGAATGGTTTTTACTGTTGTTGAATTGAAGTCAAACCTGAGATTAAGATTAAAAGGTTCAATTTGTTTGTGTTTTCTCCATTTTTTAATTTTCCCATATTTTGGACAACCCTTCTTCTGGGAAGTTTGCCCATTGCTTTGGTGATTTGTGCAAATGGAGTTGGCTTTCTCATGGTGGGGTGTTAACAACGAATGTGTTTTTCTATCATATGCATTTCTGACTTCTATTTTGTTCTTTTCTTCAATCATTGAACCAGGAGGATATCATCCGCCGGATGGATGTACTAAATCCCCAGGTATGCTGTTATATTTTTCTTCTCGAGGTTGAAGGTGGAATCTTGTATTCCATTATATAGAATGCCTTGCATCAACCCTGAGAGCTAAGATGGGAAAATGGATAATTGATGCTCATCATATAGTAAATGAATTAGGTTTTTGGACAAATATTTTGCACGGTTAGACTTGATTTTTTTCTGCCAACTTGCAATCATGGTAGTTCCAATATGGATTTAGAACTCTCTTGTTTTTGTGAGACCTGATTTTACTTTGTCATGGTGGCGAAGTAAGCTCTTAGGGGGTATACTTACCCCCATCCCCAACGCTCACACAAACAAAAAGGTTTAACAATATGAGAAAATAGCCAAAATTTATATCAAACATGTATCGAGTCCACGATATTTTGGTATGCAGACAACCAGTAATATTTGCCTTATTAATATGCTTGTCTGACATGAAAGCGTAAATTTTTAATGCACATCTCTTAACTTTCTGTAGAGTTGTAGAAAGCTGCTGGAATTGATGATATTGGATAGACACCTCGTCGTGAAGAAGATGCTTCAAACGACAGGTACCGGTCCTCCTGCCCTTTTGGCAACCCTACTTGGGAGTAGCTGTAGAGAATCAACGTTGGTATGCCGCAGACATTTCTTTGCAAGCCCTACAAGTACCTTCTTTTTGTAAGAATGTTGAAACTGGTTTCTGTAAATAAACACCATAGATCCCATAGGCAGCATTGGTTAGAATCTGAATTTTTTCTTTGCTCGTCATTGTGTCGACGCAACGATGATTTGAAGTTATCACCATGGATGTGATGCATGATTATGAACTGAATAGTGCAAGGCAAAGATGTATGTTGTATGGGAATTTGTATTATGTACATTTATCTGCAACATAATATAATAACTATCCCCATTTGCTTAATATTCTTCAATTGAGAATTTGAATGTTGTGGAGGGTTAATTTAGTCTCTGTAATGTGGGAAGAAATGAAATAAAAGGAAAATAATTATTTATACTATAGCCCTAGACTCAATAAATTGGTATCGGTGAACAAAACTTGATTTGACTCTAAAATTAATTTTTTTGACTCAAACTGACTTGACTTGTAATTTTACAAATATGACTTGACTAAAAAAATTAAAATTTAAGTCGAGATATAAAATAGAATTTAAATAATTTAAATATAACTCGTATATAACTTAGAAGTTTTAGTAATTAATAGATTGATTTTTAAATTTGAGTTGAGATGATCAACTTTATATGATATTTGTATATCATATGAAATACATATCTATTGTATGTCATAAAAATCTATCTAAATTGGAATTAAATAATATCATAATATTAGACATTAAATTTAGAATAATTTGGCTTGAAAAGATTTTGATTATATTTAAGCTATAAAAAAAAGATTTGTTTTAATTCGAATAACTCAAAATTATTTTATTCGATTCGATCAAACGTTGACCCATTTATATCCATAATGTAAGCCAATAACTCGCAACCTTTACTCACTAATTTCATAGTTATAAGCCGAGATCACATTTGAGAGGTAGTCCGATTTTTTTTCAACTACTAATTCCTTTGAACCATATGACCTTTGAAGAATCATCCGCTGTAACTGACAATTCCCTAGGGAATGTCTCATGAAAGGCGGGTTAATATACGGCTAATATACGGCGTTACCGGATACATTAAAAGATATTTAACAAATTCGGTTTAGCGCTACCGGAAATGTTGTCCAATAATAATGTAGTAGGTCTAAGTCATGAAGAAATATTAAAAAATTGTGCAATCGGCAAACTTAACTTGTCGGTTTGTGTCGATCCAAATTAAAAATGTGTCGATCCAAAACGATATAACAGGTAAAACTATGACAAAACCAGTATTGAAATGATAAAACCGGTAAAGCGCTACCGGATACATTTAAAGTGTCGGTACTTTAATATAAGGATCGACACTTCGTGAATTTAAAAGAGAAGCAGTTTTAAGTCCTATAAAGTGTCGATACTTTTAAAAAATGTATCGATCTACAACGATATACCAGGTAAAAATATGATAAAACCGGTAAGAAAATGATAAAACCGGTAAAACTTTACCGGATATATTGAAAGTGTCGATACTTTATATAAGGATCGACACTTTGTGAATTTAAAAGAGAAGCAGTTTTAGCGCCTATAATGTGTCGATACTTTAAAAAAATATATCGATCCACAACGATATAACAGGTAAAAATAGGATAAAACAGGTATCAAAATGATAAAACCGGTAAAATGATACCGGATATATTGAAAGTGTCGATACTTTCGTAAGTACGTGTAATAAATTATCGACACTTTCAAAGAAATAGGTAATTATCCTTTCGAAAGTATCGACACCTGACATAAAAGTATCGACACTTTTGTATTTGTATCGATTAAATATAAATAACATATCCGATGAAAATATAAGCTAAATATCCTCTGAAAATAGATAGAACGGACGAGTTTTTGAAATCGAAGCGTAATTGTTGTTGCATTTCAGAAGGCGTTTCTAAAGCGAAGTTTGTTTGTTTGTTGCTGCAGTCGAATCAAAAAGTATGTTGTCGAAACCCTAATTTTTTATTATTATTACAGTAATCGTAATAGGGTTTTTATGTATTGTTTGGGGTTTTGGAGTAAAGAAGCATTTGAGACCGATTGCAGGTAGAAAGTGATATTCAAGGAAAAATATAAATGTCGATATTTTTATTAAATATTATAGGTAGAAAATGATATATTATAGGTTGTATAAATGTGCCGACACATTTTGGTGTGGCCATTCAAATTCTTTTGAAGAAAACCGTTTTACCACAAGAGTAGTTATCTATATTTGTATATTGAATAAAGTGTATGTAACAAAATAATTTGATTTGCGTAAACTGATATATGAAGGAAAAATGGAGTCAATGGGTTGGAAAATTGTTGGTGGAGCAGATGACTTTGAAATTGAGGCCGAGACTCGAAAGCAACCAAAGGGTGGATATATGTACTTCTAGTAAGTATCAATGTCTTTTTGTTATTATTGTTGAAATGGTAATTGGATTAAAGTATCGATAAACTTTAAATTGATTACAAATTTTAAATGTTGACAGTATGGCCGAATGCAAAAGGATGAAGGAAGATGGCGCACAGAGCGGTTCGATATGTAAAATGAAATTGACATTGAGTAGTATTTAGTGTTAATGTATTGATTAAGAAACGTTTATGTTTAATATTAGGTGACAAAAGATGTGAGGTCCAAATGGAATTCAATGAGTGATGCTGAAAAGGAACCTTACATCACACAGTCAAGGAATGATAGTAAAGAATACAAAGAACGGAGGAAAGCACATGAAAATAAGGTATTCATTAAACTTGTAAATACGTTCATACAAAATATATAAGAACTATAACATTATATATTGTTAAAAAATGTAGGAAGTGTCGACAAGATGCAGCATTAAAAGGGTGAATTTATTAATTAAACACCTTAAGGAGAAGGGTCAGTTGAATGTGCTGGGAGAAATAGGTTTTGGATCGTTGGTAGGAGTAAGGGATCGACCTATTCGGAGAGAATTGTGTCGATCCTTGATGGCGCAATTTGATGTCAGACAATGTATTGCTAAGTATGGTGATTTTTCATTTCCTCTCGGGATCCCATGTGCTGCAGCCGTATTGGGGGTAGAAAATGAAGGCAAAAGTGTTGTAGAAGTCTGTAAGAGTAAGGACTGGAAAGCACTTGCCTCCAAATATGGTTTGAAGCATAAGGTGACATATGCTGAAATTGAAGAGGAAATAAAAAGTGGATCTTACGTTGGGGATGAGCTGAAGGCCAGAGTTCTATTATACCTTATCGGTATCTTTCTTTGTCCAACGGGTAATACGTCAACGAACAAGGAACATATGAAGCTCATTTGTGATGAAGGCTTGAAGGGTGAATTCAATTGGGCTGAATATATCCATTCGATATTGATTGAATCAATAATCACCTTTAAAAAGGGCAGCCAGAGATACCTCAAAGGGTGCATAGCAATCTTAGAGGTAAATGAGTTGAAGAACTTTTTTTGTGTTTTTATATAAAAATATAAATTTTATTATAAATGCAGGTTGCACTGTTCGATTTTTGGTCGGGCTGTGAGGCAGTGCCGGCTTATGAAAGAACCGGAGTGGCACGCATCCGTGCATGGGGGAAGGAAGAGGTGGTTAGAGTGATGGTGAAGTTGAAGTTGGATAGAGCGAAGAAGCAAGAAAGGGTAATAAATGTAATTAAATAATATTAAGAATATAATCAATGTCTTAATATTGTAATTTAATTTTGAAGGTTATTGGCAAGGATGTAGAGGAGGCAGAGGAGAAGAAAGGAGGGATGGTTGTTTTGGGGGATGACGGTGAGGGAAAACATAGTAACTTCGACATTTTGATGTCTGAATTGGCTGATATCAAAAAAATCCAATTTGATATCATGCAAAGACAATCAAGAGTCGAAGAGAAACTTGATAGAGTCGAAGAGAAACTTGAGAGAGTCGAAGATACACTTGAGAGGCATAAGGGGGTAGTGGAAGGAAAAATAGATGGAGTGGTGAAAGAAGTAGAGGTGTTGAGGGGTGAAGTGGTGAAAGAAGTTGGGGTGTTAAGGGGTGATATTAAGATGGTGACGGGTGAAAAATTTGAGGGAGTGGTGAAGGAGGTTGTGGAATTTAGGAGTGAACTTACGGGGGTGAAGGGGGGTGGTTGATAAATACTTGGATGAAGGAGATCAATTGAAGGGTGAAATAAAAGAGATGAAGAGCTGTGTAGAAAAAAAATACGATGAACTGAAAAAATATGAAGAAGAAAAGAGGGAGGAGGAAGAAGAAGAGATGGAAGAAATGAGGAGGAAGGAAGTCGATGTCATTTATACACCGGAGAGTGTTATAGCAGCAGATTTGGATTCGGAATGTCCTGCACCCTAGAAGAAGAAGCAGAAGGTAAGTTGAATAAAAGAAAACTTAATTTGATTTTTATTATGTTGTTGTGACAAAAATTTGTATGCAAAATTGTAGGTTGAAAAAGTGGATATTCCAAGCGGAATTGATGACATCGAAGCTGCAATTTGTGATTATTTATGGAATAGTGAGTTAGAATCGGAGTAAGTGAAATATATTGCTTTGTGAGTTATATTTAAATATTTCATGACAACATATTAATCCTAATGATTCATACAGATATTCTGTAATCTCAATGGGAAATCAATTCGCTAGTGTATACGACGTTGCAACGTTGAAGCCTACGGAATGGGTTAGTCGTGTGGTAAGTAGAAAGTAGAAAATGTTAAAACTTATTGAATATGTTCTGATTGTGTAATTAATTTTGTTAGGTTATTGATTTGCTCGCCTGGACAGTATGCTACGATTCTCAGAAGTCACTCCGGAGGATTGGCTATCTTCCATACCACTTAGCGGTGAGTTAAATTAATAAATGGAGATAAGTAGTGTTATAGACGGTAAATTAATAATGTTTGTTGCGTAATTGCAGCAACAGGCGTTGGATGCCAACAGCAAAGAAAGTGTTGAGAGTATTGCTACCTTCTGGGGTCCCATATTGAATAACTATGTGAAATTCACCGACTGTGAGAAGGTAAGACACCATACCAATTGCAAATGATGTTTTCGGATATAGAATGTTGAATTTTATCAAATTGGGTGTGAAATTTGTTGCAGATCATGATCACAATAAACTACCATAATTCACATTGGTATATG